GTTTTTACTGGACTAAAAGGATGTAAATATCATCTTATGTCAGTGTCATATTGACGAGACGCATATTTAGTAACTGTAAAGATCCAAAGAGTGAGGGTAGAGACCCATCCTTAGAGGCACTGTACACACATCCTCTCATAAATGTCTAAAAACATTTTAGAGAATAATTTTAATTTAATCCATTGGTCTAGCCGGCACCTCTCTCAGATAAAGGCTTAAGATAAAACGTCTGTTGTAAATGTAAAATCAATTATTAAACAACTGAAGCTATCAAGTGAGGTGCATATTGGCCACCTGAAGGCACAAGACATACTACTTCCAACAGGAGGTGATAACCTTCAGAGACACCAGGGGACGAACATTCTAAAATCAGAGTGGCTGGTGAGTGTTCATTTCTGCAATCACATATGCCTGGATAACGATGCTGAAAGAGCACTTAAATTCCCCTATCATGACTCTGCAGTTATTTCCTAGTTAGGCCTCCACCGTTAGATTTAGGGGGAAAAGGACAACTGAAGTTCTTGCCTTTTCTGCTATTCTGTAGGGTAAATGTCTAGGTGAAGGAGTTTGTCTTAGTTGATGACAGCATTAGAAATATAACAGAGTGCCTATATAAGCTTCATCACACATGAAATAATTAACACATGCATTTGTGTGCACATCACACATACCACTACAAACCTTGTGAGGCAAAAACATCCTTGTCTATAAGAGAAGTAAAAGAATATGTTTAACCATATGGGTAACAAAAAGTGTAAAACTTGAATCCAATTCCCTCCAACCTTAAAATTTGGCATTTAAAAATTTTTTTTTTTAGTTATCAATGAATCTTTATTTTATTTATTTATATGTGGTGCTGAGAATCGAACTCAAGGCCTGACACATTTCAGGCAAGTGTCCTACTGCTGAGCCCCAGCCCCAGCCCAAAAATTTGGCATCTTGACCCCCACACACATATACTTCCAAACAAAATCTAGACCTTTAGAACAAGCCCCAAAATTACACAAGACACAACTCAGTCAAATCTTTATTGAGTAGTTACTAGATGGTGGAGAAAATGGAACCCAGAGAAATTAGGCCCATGTCTGTCTTTATTTCTTATGAAGGAAGAGCAAACAATGTGGAATGAATGAATTTGTTCTGTTCACCTCACATGTGATATAGAACTAGGCTGATTGGAGATTGCAGAATGTTCACTAGACTTGGGGATTAGCAGGTTCTGTTGGAGATTAACCACTAAGCAAAGACTTTCTCTGTATTTTTTTTCATCCTGTGAAATGAAAGGATTAAATGATCTCTGGGATGTCTTCCAGCTCTTACGTTATAACATTACAGCTCCTTGTATTTTCAGCTGCCCTGATTCTTCTCCTCAGAACTCGGGGCAAGATGTTATGGGAAAGCAAAGTCCATATAGGAACTCATGTTTTTTTTAAAAAAAAAAAAAAAAAGACATCTTTCATGACCAGGAGAAAAACCATTTTTCATGACCAGGAGAGGGCAGGAAAGATAGATTAGGTGTGAGATTGACAGCAGAACTCCCAGGACAGTTTCTGGAAGATCTGCGATCATTGGGTTTGGTATTTGGTCTGTGCACTTGCTGCCCACCTGCTCTTTATGATAATCTTTTATTTAGCCAAATCCAGAAATTCAATAAGATAGGTTGGAAACTTCTGCCCTGGACAGTACTGAAGTTGTAGTCCACAGAGAACAACTCTTCCTTCCTACTTCCACTCCCACTGCCCCCACACACTTGCCTGACTTCCCTATTCATGCGTGTGTGTCACCTGTGAGTGTATGTGGAGAGCGGTGATTTGGACCATGGTCTTTGACTGACTTAAAGCTTTGGCTGCACTTTGCCAACGGAATATTCTGTGTAAAGGTACAGGATGAGATTTCCCAGGAGCTATAGCAGTGCCCTGACTGAGGAAGTTCCAAGCAAAGATGTGGAGTGTTTCATGCAAAGGCATGGAACCATAACAGTCTTGACCTTGAGCTCAGACACCAGCTGCTGGGGACAGAGAATTCTGAGCATAACAAAATAACCACAATATCTTGCAAGTGTGACCTTCAAGCCTGCTTGCTTTGGAGAAATTTTCCCACAAATAACTTTTGGATGATAACACCTATATAATAAACGTGCTGTGCTAGCTCTGGGTCACTGTTCCTCCCAGAGATCGGTGTCCCACTCAGTCCCAGTTTTCTCTTTGTAAATGTTTGTGTGTCTTTCTTAATCCCCCATCACCCCTCAACAGTCTTTAGGGTTAGCTGTGCGGGTTGTGGCAAGCAAAAACTCAATGTTGGATAGGAGTTGCCAGCCCTTACCACATGCCTTGTAATCAACCCCTAGACCATGAGCTCTATGAGTACACACCTGCTCAATTCACGGCTCCATCTCCAGCACTCAGAATGATGCCTGGCACAGAGTAGATGATCAATATATATTTGTGAAATCAATGACTTTGTTTCCATTCTGTCTCCCTTACTAGATTAAAAGGATCTACCTTGAGCGACTGCAAGCTCCATAAGGACAAGATAACCCTGTTCTTACTAGTGTTTGGATTCCTATCATTGAGCAAAATATCTAAGACACACTAGCACAAAATAGATCTTTGCAAAGATAGAACTGACAGAAGTACAATAGAATAATCCAGATAAAGAGAGAAATCAAAGATGTCTCCAAAGAGATAGTCATCTCAGAATTGCTTTACTAAATAGTACTCTGCTTAGCACAACTTGAAGCTGACTGTGACCTGTGATCCTTTTATGGAAAGACTGTACAAAATGAGAAGCAGCAGACTGCACTGAAAAATCACATATCTTTAATATTTTTATGGGATTACACACTGTCAGGCCCTTTACCCAAGTTTTTATGAGTCAATCCTGGAAGCCCATACTACTCAGGTCCTCTTCTTGCACATTTATTATAGAAATGCTCTAAATAGATCCCATCCCATAAAATCTTTCATTTGTCTTCTAGAATATCCACCTCTCAATAATGAGATTCCCAGACCCCCATCTCTCCAAATACTCCTGAGCCTTCTTACCTTAATTACTCTGCTTTGAGGACCCTGCTCCTCACTGTGGCTCTCGGACCACTGTTCCCCTCCAAAAGTCCCTTAATTTGACATGTGTGCCATCACACTGTCCTGCTAGAGGATCAGTCTTAAAACATGCTCTCTTGAACTCACATCTTCTTCCTGCTACTACTCAATTTGATTCCTCTCCACTCGCTTTTCTGAAAAATGTATCCAAAAGAGCTTTCTGGACTTGCTGTTTCCAATTCTTGTCCTCTTGTTCTCTCTTGCACCTATTCTATCAGACATTCTTTCCTATGATTACACAACAGCAGCTCTTTCAAGGTCAACTGTGACCTCCACAAGGCTAAATCAAGCACCAGTGCCCAGGCCTCATCTTTCTTGAGCTCTCGGTAGCATTCCTGCCTCTCTGGGCTTCCAAGCGTTCTGGCCATTTTCTCAAACACCTCTGTTGCCCCCGATTTCCCCAACCTTGAAACACTGGAATGCTCAGAACCCCCCCAGACGCTTCTTTTCCAAGCTACAGCTGTACACACTGACATCTGGGTACGGTTATGTAATTTTTAGGGCCCGGTGCAAAATAAATTTGTGGGTACCTTCTTTAGAAATTATCAAGAATTCAAAACAGCAACAGTAAAACATTAAGACAAGTGCAAGGCTCTTCTAAGAGCTGGGCCCTGCCCATCTTCAAGGCAAGAATGCCTAAACCAGTCATACTAAGACGATTGTTGAATTTGTATTTCTGACCTTGAACACACCCCTACACCCCAGATTTATAAACCCAGCTACCTACTAAGCATACCCACTGTACTCTCTAATGGGCATCTCAAGTGTGATATGGTCAAAACCAAATTCCCCCAACCCTCCCACCTCCAAAGGAGAACCTGTTCCTCTGCAGTCTCCTCATCTTAGCAAGTGTCGTATTCTTGTAGTTTCTTAGACCAATCGCCTTGGGGGCACCTCTGATTCTCCCTCTTTACAAGGCCCTCATCCAAAGCATAAGCAAATACCCTTAGCTGTACCTTCCAACACAGAAAGGTTGTCCCCACCTTTCCCCACTCTGCTTTCACCTGGGTACAACACACCCCCAATAGATTACTGCAGCCCCTCCCAATTGTCTCCCTGGTGCCACTCTTTCTCCCCTGTCTAGACCCTGAAGCTGATGGTCCTTTCAAGAGGGAGGTCTCCCCAAAATGAATTTGAAAGTGCCCTGACTTTGCTCAAGTTTAACAAACCTTCATCAAAACTACCTAAGAAGCTTGTTTCCCTCTCACATGACTCAACTACTAAAATATGAAAGTCGCTTATTTTTCTATGCCTATTTTCTCAAAACAGGAAGAGGGCAAGTGACCCCAGCTCTAAACCCTGAACCTTTCTCTTGTCTCCCACTTGCCGAGAGTCCTGAAACAGTAAGAAACCAAATCTTTAGAAGGTCCTTTTTCAATTTTGCATTAGCTAGCGTCTAGCTAACCCATCATGTGTCATGACCACAGATCAGCCAATTGCACAAGATCGTGGTTTCTAAATATGTTATATAACATAACTAAGGACTCAACCAGGTGAGTGGTTGGGGAAGCTGTATTTGAAGTACCCAAGAATGCTACTGTTTTCAAGGATTTCAGTCGCAATCCATAGGTCTAGGAGCCTGATGGTGAGCCTGCCTGCCTGTCTTATCTGTGTGAGCTTCTGGACCCAGTGTCTGCCCCGGTTACGGTGAGCTAGTATACGTCGCTACTGTGCGCGCGAGGACCCGGGCCCCAGGTGATAGAAAACACTCCACTGCTCTGGCTCTTAGAACTCTGCAAAAGACACTGCACAACGCAGGTTAGGCCAAAAGTCCCCAGAGCCGACCAACCGCGCGCACCGCCGCTGGGAACACTGCCGGCAACTGCGGCTCTAGTAACGTCCATCAGTCGCAGCAACGCGTGGGGCGTACGGGCATGCGCGCAACGCGCACACACGTACACACACACACACACACACACACACACACACACACGTACACACACACACCTGTACCAGGCGGATCTGGGGTCTCTGACGCCCGCCGCCCCCTTTGCCCGAGCATGGGTCCGTTTAGCCTTCTAGGTGCATGGGCGCCACCCCATCCCCAGGACAGAAAGAGCGTGGAGCGAGCGGGTCCTGCAGCCCCAGCAGCCCTGGGAGGAGGGGGGCCAGCATAGGGCGGGGCAGTGTCACATAACAGCGGGCGCGCCGCCCCCGCCCCCGCCCCCAGCCCCGGCCCACCCTCCGCGCCGCGCCCCTCCCGGCTCACCCACAGAAGAGCCGATCCTCGCCCTCCGCTGCAGGGACATCTTAAGAGCTTTGTCCAGGCCTGCACCCTTCAGCATCTCGCCCGTGTCGCTGACTCGGCCGCCCCGGGTGAGCGGAGAAGGCTGAGCGCAAGGCTGGGCACAGGGACCGCGGCGCGAGGGCCATGGGAGAGCCGGCGACTCTCTGGGCTACGGACGGGCGGGGACCGCCGGCGCCCGTGCCCCACAGCCGCGGAGGCTGCGCGGTTCGTGCCGCAACGGCCAATGCGGCAGCGCCCGCGAACGCCACCGCTGCGGGCCCCGCTGGCCCCGGCTGCGGCGCGGGGGGCGGGGGACCGGCAGTGCGGCGGAGAAGCCCGCGGGAGGAGGAGCGGGCTGGGGAGGCTGGGGAGGACCGCAGCTCTCTGCAGGACCGGGGGCTTTCAGGTGGCGGGGAATGCAGTACCGTGGGCTGATGGGGGGATTGGACTGGTGCTTTAGGGAGGCTGTTCTAGAAGGTGGCAGCCAGGGGACTTGGGGTCTGAGCCTGTTTGCTACCTATTTGCCTGCTTGTCAGTTGCCATATGATGCAAGCCGAGGCAGTGTAACTCCTGACCTTCTGTTTTTTTTTCGCAGTTTCTGTGTCTGGCCTGGTGTTAACTGCGTAGTTTCTTCAGGAAACAGATATTTCCAAGATATCTGATGTGTGGCCTCGAAAGTCAGAGAAGTCCTGGATCTGCAGCCCCCTGACTCCCACCCATCACAGCCTGTCTAGAATTCTAAATAGTGGCATGTTAGAGCTATAAGAATAGTGCACCTAACCACACGCACACCAGCACCTTCTTCCATAGAAACAAAATTAATTGAGAGGTAAGGTGACTTGTCCAAGGTCACTCGATCAATTTTTGTTTTCTTTTGTCAGTGGATGTTTAAACTGCTTGGTCCTCTGGGCAAATTGAGAATATCTGATGAAATTCTGACCTAAGTTAAAAATTCGGATAAGAGTCCTATGTATGTATACTGATATGATCATTTCATTTTACATAAAGTGAACACCAGGACGGACAAGGAGAACAAAGTTCAGAAAGAATCAATGTCTGTTTCAGTCAGCTTTTTCACTGCTGTCACCAAAAGACCTGACAAGAACAATTTTAGAAGAGGAAAAATTTATGGTGGCTCACGGCTTTCTGTTCACAGATAGCCAGCTCCATTGCTTTGTGCCCCAGGTAAGGCAGAGCATCATGGTGGAAGAGTGTGGTAGAGGAAAGCAGCCCAGGACTGGGAACAAGGAATGATAGAGAGAAATTGCCCTCACCATGGACAATATATATATATATACTCCAAGGGCACATCCTAGTTACTACTCAGTTAATCCCTATCAGAGGATTAATGCACTGATTAGGTTGACTCTCATAACCCAATCAGTTCACCTCTAAACTTTCTTGCATTGTCTCACACACGCACTTTTACAGGACACCTCATATCTAAACCATAATACTAGGGATAGACATGTCGAAGTGCCGCCCCCACCCCCACCCCAGCTCCTCCTGTGTGGCCTCGGCTAACGATTTTTCTTAGGGAAATCCAGAAGGGATGGGAAACTTGTACTGAAAAATGTAGGCTATCAACAGACTGGACTAAATTTTAGTTTCAAGTACAATTTCTTGTCTGTCTATTCAAAGTGTTTCCCATTATAAATTAATCTATGGGGAGAGTTGAAGACAAAAAAAAAAAATTCTTAAGCATTGAGCCGAGTTTCAGGGTGGGTGTGTTTTCTTTGAGTTTTCCTACTGGCTGAGAATGTAAAGCTGGAGTTAATCCTAGCACTGAATTTGTCAAAACTTTGCCCCTAGTGATTTAGCACATTTTCCGTCTATAATAACCCCTGGAAGGCTAAGCAAATTTTTGAAAAGGACTTGAAAGAATAAGATTTTTTCAGCCCCAAACTTTAAGATCAGTAGAAAACTTCTGTTGTTAAATATAGAACATTTACAGACCTACCCAGTTGTCCTACCCTGATTTCACACAACCCCATTACTGCTTTTATTTCCATGTTTGTATTACAAAAAACAATAACAAAAACTGTCCTGACAACTTTGTGGGAGTTTAAGGCAGTTCAGTTGGCACACTTTGAACATCAGTAACATGAGCCCATTCTTTCTTATTTTGGCTGCATGGTCCTAAAAACAATCAGCTGGGATCCTTCTTTCAAGAAGCTATTTTACACAAATGAAGCTGGTTGTAGTGGCACATGTCTGTAATCCCAGCAACTGGGAAGGCTAAAGCAGGAGGCTTGAAAGTTCAAGGCTAGTCTCAGTAATTTAGCAAGACCTTGTCTCAAAATAAAAAATAAATAGGGTTCAATTTACTTATTGTTCACAAGTAAAGCACTCCTTGGGTTCAATCCCCAGTACAACAGCATTTTAAAAAAGAATTAAAAAAGCTTCAAGCCACTTCTTAAGCCCCCTTTCTTCAAACTGAAAAAGTTCTGTTTCTTTTGTCTGTTAGTTTCTGCAGTTCAGGAGATTGAACCCAGGGGCTCAGGCATACTCTACTATGCAAGGGCACAACTACTGAGCTATACCTTAGTCCTAGCCCTGTTTCTTTTAAAAATTTGTGTGTTTATAATATATATATATATATATATATATATATATATATATATATATTATACACACAGACTTTTAAAAGAAAATGGCATATATATTTGGCATATTAAAAATATATTACTCATCCATATATCCACTTCCCAGTTTAGGAAACATCACAATACAGGCCCGATGGGAGACTATTTACCTTCCCCTAATCCCTTTCTTTTCCTTCTGTTCCCCAGACCAACTTCCTTTTATCTTTTCTTCATTGAGTGTCTTTTTTCTTTCCTTGTTATTATTTACAGACTAATGAACTAAAAGTCAATCCTGATAGTAATGGGTAAGGGTCCAAGGTGGACCATTTCATTGAAATCTTTTTTCTATGAGGTTCTTACTAACCCATTAAGTCCTAAGTTTTAAATTCTGCAATTATTTCAATTTCAATAAAATTAACATAGATGCATTAAAATAGGTTGGAAACCGTAATCTAGAGCTTATATATTATTGACTGATACTAGTATTAATGTAATTATTATATAATTATATCATATAATTATATTATATACTATATTTTTATAGGCATTTCACTTCTGGGGTGATGGGGTAAAATGGGTTATGTAAATATAGTTTGATTACTTAAATCTTCTCTGAATTCTTCTCATTTTTACACATTGTTATTAGAGAGCAGTGTCCCAAACTGTGCATAGAAGAAATATTCAAAAGAACTGTAAATCTCTGTTTTCCCAATGACAAAAAGGGCAATTGTCCCAGATCCTTCCTCCTCTATCAATCATTTCATTCATTCATTCACAGTCATGTCTGGCATTTGGTGGCTGGCAGCTGGGATTTTAGATGGGGCTGGGAACTGGTGTACTTATACATGGCCTCTCCACCTGGGATTCCTTACAACATGTTTGTTGGAGTTCAAGTGTGAGTTCCCAAGAGAGTATCAGGTGGAAAGGAGTCTTGGAAAGCATGGCCTTGGAAGTATGCAGCATCATTTTCACCATACCCTGTTTGTCAAGGCAGTTACAAAGGCCCTATCGGTCCAAGGGAGGAAGAAGTAGACTTGACCTTCTGATGGAAAAAGTGGCAAGATTCTGGAAAAGCACAGAGTTGGAAACATCGTTGCAACCACTTTGGGAATTGCAGTCTGTCAGAACTAGCAACAAGCAAGATTAATGTTAATAAAATATTATTTATGATTACATCATAATCAAGTAATAGTCATGGAGAAAATTTTGAAAGATGTGCAAGACCTACATGCTGAAAACAAGGCATTTGGGGTCCTAGAGAACAAAATTGAGGGACTTATACTATTTGATTCCAAATCTTTCTATAGTACTAATACTAATCAAGACAAGTAGGTTATTGAAATAATAGGTTTTTAAAGTATATCCAAGCACATATGGTTGGCTAATTTTGACAGAGACAGACTATTCAATAAGGAAGACAGTCTTTTCAATAAGTGATACTATAACAACTTAATAACCATGTTGGGGTGGGGAGCTTTGACTCGCTAACCACAAAAAAATTCAAAATGGATCATAAACTTACAAGTGAAATAAAAAAGCAACATGCAAATCTTCTGGAAGAAAGCATTGAGAAAATATTTCACACAGGACGTAGAAAACACTAACCATAAAAGAAAACATGTATAAATTGGACATCATCAAAATAAACTTCTATTCAAGAAAAGATACCACCAAGAAAGTAGATAGGTAAGCCAGAGACTGAGAAAAGATGTTCACAATGCATTCATCTGACAAAGGACCCATATTTAGAATATATAAATAATTCCTGCAATTCAATATTAAAAGACATCTAATTTAATAAAAGTGGTCAGAAAACTGGAACATATTATAGATGAAGATATACAAAAGTTTGACCAGTACATGAAAAAGTGCTCAAAATCATTAGTTGTCATGAATAGGCAAACTAAAAAAATATTTTATACACACTCACTAATAGGTCAAAATAAAAAGATTGACTCAAATATTACAGAGGATATTGAACACCAGAACTCATATTATTGGTGGAAATGTAAATTGTTGGTACTGAGGATAAAACCCAGATGTGCTTAACCACTGAGCCACATTCCCTGCACTTTTTTATATTTTATTTTGAGACAGGGTCTTGCTAAGTTGCTTAGGACCTCACTAAGTTGCTGAGGCTGGCCTTGAACTTACAGTCTCCTGCCTTAGCCTCCAGAGTCTGTGGGATTACAGCCATGCACCACCATTCCCATCTTGCTGTATACATTTTTTTTAAACTTGTAGTTTCTCATAAAGTTAAATATACACCTTATCTATGACTCATAAATTCCACATCTGATATTTCCCCAAAAGAAATAAATACGTATTCTACAAAAATATTCAAAATGTAATGTTAATAGTTGCATTATTCATAATAGACACAAATTGGAAACCATCCAAACACCCATCAACAGGTAATGAACTGGTCTATTCCTATAATGGGATATGACTTAGCAATAAAAAGGAACAAATTAACAAATACACATTGTGTATATGTGTGTCTACACTTGTGTGTATGTCTCTCTCTCTTCTTATAAAGCCACCAGTATTCTGTCATGTGCACAACATCCTGATGACCTTTTCTAATCCTGATCTCCTGACAAAGGGTCTACTTCTAAAGGCCATAGTTGAATTAAGTTTCCACCCTCTTAGCAAAAGCAAAATATGAAAGTTTATATAATAGGGTTCAATGAAATGAAGTTTAAGGAAAAGCAAAAATAAACTATGAGTTAGGTTATAGAGATTTACATAGGGTTCAATGAAATGAAGTTTAAGGAAAAGCAAAAATAAACTATGAGTTAGGTTATAGAGATTTACTGGGAAGGAATTCAAAGGCACTTTTGGAGATGATGGAAATTTTCTATTTTTTGACAAAAAAGTGAATATTGGTGTATAAGTTTGTTAAGGCTGTCAACTGTACAGTTAAGATTCATGCATTTCACTGGAAATTAAAACTCAATTTTTAAAATGCTAATAAGAAATTAGTTTTTAAAATGCTTGAACTACAATATAATAATGTTATTTATAATAGCAAAAATCTGGAAATTAGGCCCATGAGATGAGAAGAAGTTAAAATTTTTTCCCTTAAAACCCCTAATTCTCTTGAAATTAACAAATTTGTAAGGCTCTTTAATGAATAGAGAAAATATTTATAGTGATTAACAATGAATAAAGTGCAAATGCAAAGCTGTGTATATTTTGTAATCCATTTTTCAATAGATCATAATTAAGTAAATTCTGTACAATTTATTTATTGATATATACCATACATCTGTATATGAAGTATTAAAATACTAACAGTAAATTGGGCATGGTGGTACATACCTGCAATCCCAGGAACTTGGGAGGCTAAGACAGGAGAATAGAAAGTTCAGGATCAGCCAGCCTCAGCAACTTAGTGAGGCCCTAAGCAACTTAGTGAGATCCTGTCTCAAAATAAAAAATAAAAAGGGCTGGGGATATAAGCCAGTGGTTAAGCACCCCTGGGTTCAATCCTGGTACCAAAAAAAAAAAAAAAAGTTAACTGTAATCATCTCTGAATGATGGTCTTTATTTTCTTTTTTATACCTCTCAGTATATTTCAAACTTTTTACAAAAAGAAATGGTGTCTTCTTAAAATGAAGTGTAGAAGTACAGTGAGTCTACCAGCCCAAAGTTATGGCTTCCATCTAAAGCAAGGCTGAACATGTTTCTAGGATGAATGCACAGGATCAAAGCAAGTTCTGCTTGCTGCTATGGTTTGAATATAGTTGTTCCCTCTGCTCCTGTTGGAATTTAATCCCCATTGATATTAAGAGGGTGAAAATGTAATCTAACTATGGTTTTTAGATATGGGACCTTAAGGAGATTGGGATCAGAAAGGTCATCAGGGAAGAGCCCCCATGATTGAATGCTGGTAGCTTTATAAAAAGAGAGAAGAGACACCAGAGGAAACACATGCTTATGCCCCACCTCTTGCCATGTCATGCCCTTCAAGCAAGAAGGCCATCACCAGGCTGCAGCCCTCTGACCTTGGATCAGAGTTGTAAGCCACAGGAACTCTCTTTCTTTTGTAATTTATCTGATCTGTGATAATGTTATTAGCAACAAAGAATGGGTTAATACAGTTGCCAAGCCAAACCCAGGGGACAGAAGGGACATGATAATAAGAGTAAAGCACCTCTGTAGCAGATGCCACACAGCTGCAGAACACGGGGTAATTCAATAGCTAACACCACCACTTGATGACAAATTAACTAGCTTAATAATAATGATTATCACAGCTAGAATGTTAAGTGCATACATTGGTCATTTACTCTAGCTAAATGAATGACTTGGGTTTTCCCTTTTAATTTTTCAAAATAATACAGAGACAAATACATTATCACCTCTGTTCTGTAGGTGATAACAGCTTGGAGTTAGAGAAGTTACAAATTTGCTTAAGGTCAAACAGGTAAGTAAGTAGTCAGTGGAGATAAAATTAAGCTCTTGTCAGAGTGTGTCTCATGGTCACACTCATAATGTGGTGACTATTGCATTCCCCTCCTTCTCCAAAGAAGTCTTTCAACAGAGAAGAGGTTAAAAAAAAAAAAAAGTATTTCTTAACAGTGACAGTAGCACAAACCGAAAATCATACTTTTGTATAAACTGCATAAAGGGCTTTAATTGAGCATCTGTATTGTCTGTCACTTCTGCTGACCAAAGACCAACAAAAGCAGTTACTATTTTGACCACATGAGCACATGCACTCTCCTACACAAAAATGAATTAAAAACTCATATTTTACTAAATTCTGAAATTTCTCATCCACCCTCTAGTCACTGAACATCTGTTGCTTTTTCAGGGTTTATGAACGTTCTCTCCTCACTCTCTGTGATTTGGGGAACAGAACTAACAATATCACAAATACAACTCTTCATCCAAGGAGTGGGCTGGGAGCTTCCCGACCAATTAGAGCAAGTCTCTCTAGAAATCTGGAAGTGGTCATGTGATCTGAGAGGACTTTAGAGAGGCAGAGTCAGTCACATAAGCCCCCTCCACACACCCCAAGCTTGAGCCCTAGGGAGTCTATGATTTGGGGGGTTTCCAGAAGCCCTCTTGGCACCATTCAGGATAGACCTCATTATCTAGCCACAAGATTCATTTCCTGATCACGTTGTTTGCTCTGGTTAGTCTAGCCATTTCTGAAGCCCAGACTACTTGCTGGACTTTTTACGACAGAATAAATTCAATTTTTTTTTAACTTGAGATTATATATCACTCTAGAATGTTTACCTAGGAAGGACTTAGGGAAGGAAAAAAGCTAGAAAACATATCTTGAAGCACTGCTTTCACAGTTTGGGGATAATGGAGATTAATGGGAATGGGAACTAAATCCCTGAGCCACTCCCGGGAGCAAATGCTAGTTATTATATCACTTGTAAGCAAAACAGTATGGACTAGTACAAGTCTCTTCATCCTTTCTGCTCCTCTTCTCTTTATCATCAAATTTTCCTGGAACATGCTATTATAAAAAAGTGCTGTGTGTAGATGAAAGAATATCAGCATCAAAATGAAGCAACAGCATTGCTTCTCAAAATGTTTTTCAACCCTGCTGACTTCAAAAATAACATGTGCTCATGAGCATCAGCTGGTATGTCGGCTTTCAAAGCTTTATTCCCAGAAAACACTGATCTACTTGAATGAGCTTCCCAGGGTACCATGCTGTCATGTCCTATCACAAAAAAGAAAAATCTGTAATCTTATATTCTACATTTATTTGTATCTTTCTATTTCCATATATGTGATGCTAGAAGAGTCATTGAGACCATGATGAACACAGAGCCCATCGGTCAAAAGTTTCCCCATCAGTGTCTTCCTTTCATTTACATAATTTTCCAGAAATAAACTACTTTCTAATTTCCATTCCTCAAACGTGTTCTCAATTATTTTATGTTCTTAGAGAATGCTTAGGATTCTGAGAATATAAACAGTGGACTTCCACTTATAAATTTTAAAATATCTAAAGGAGGAATTTCAGAGGATTATAAAAACTTTTAAATACTTGGTTCTCTTAGTAACAAATTACACAATTTAAGCATGGTTACAATGCCATGGGAGACAATTTTCATAGATAAATTTTTACAGCAGCATTTATATTAATCCTAGAATATTATTTATCATCAGAGGAAGTTGATCCTCCATTTTTAGATGAATTTGAAAGATAA